CATTTGTGACCTTGCCTTTGAAAAGTTCCCACAGGTCCATTGTGTGCAGAAGGCCTTTGATACACAGCCCTCCAGGTGGTGCCCTTTCTTTGTCGCATAAAATTCCATTCAGGTTTGGCAGAGATAGTCAGTGTAGAATCACAGGTTCCCCTTTCTCACTGCTTCTGCACAAAGAGTTTGGCAGCTTGCCCAAACTCCCAACACAGGCTTCTTATCATCACCAAAGGAACTGCAGCAGTCTATGCTGTGTTGAATATACCTCTGAGCCACAAGGCAGAAAGAAACCACCTACTCTCTATTCCCTCAACACAGCATTGACTTCTAGAAACTACCACTCCCCTACTCTAGGCAGCATACAATGGCAATAGGATCCTCAACTTGAGAAGAGGGGGAAACTAAGTAGATAAACATATGCTCGTACCACCTCGCTTCCCCAAGTATCCATCACTCCTCTTACACTACCATGCATTCCTCCTTCTCATCTTTGCATTCTCTTTTCTGTCTTCATCCTTTCTTCCTTCTCTTCTCTGGGCTCAGCTGCACATAGGAGGAATAGTTTGCTTCAGGCCCACACTCATGGCATGCTCTCTAGAAAAGGATCAAGGTTTCCAGATTGTTTCCAGATTTATTGTGCAGGAATTCCAACTAAACTGCCAGCTCCCGAAAGCAAAAACAAATGAAAAGGCCATCTTGGGGAAGTCCACAAACAGAAGGTAATGGTATAGCCAATTAAAACCAGAGGCACACCACTGCTAGCAAAAGGGCTGGCAGTCTTTGGAGAACACCTCCGCACAGCATCTGCAATTCACATCAGGAGTCCTCGATTTCCATATTCTTTTAATGCAAACAATTGTGAAATCTAGTAATAATAATAAAACTGCTGCTTCTACTCTGTTAACCAAAAGATGGCAGACAGCCCTTGCTTTGCTAGTCTGAAAAAGCAATGTGCACAGATCTATACAACATCTTTAAAAGAGCTGCTACTGCCCAAATGAGTATCAATTCAGTCTCATGTGATTTCACTTTTCATTGTAGCTTATTTATTTGCATTTTAATTGGGAAACCTTTTAAAGCAGCCTAATTGCAAAGTTAAGCACAGAGAAGCTGCCTAGACAACCTTAATTCAGCCCTTCATGGCTATACACTAACACATAAAAAAGCCAAGAGAGCACTGCAGACATCACTAGAATGGCATTTCAAGTCTGAAACTTGACTTCAGTAGATGTAACATTAATGACAACAAAGCAAAGCAAAAATCAAACGAGTTGCCTTTTCTCAACCTCACTCCAAATATACTGTCTACACCTGATCTGCATTTCAGGGCTGGTTAAATCAGACCTGCATGTTCAGGAGCATCCCTGCTGGCCTACCTAGGGCCAGGTCAGGCTGAGGAGAGCACATCCTCAGAACTCTTTGCAGAGGGTCAGGCTGCTGTAGTGTTCATAGTCCACTGGTGAGAAGCCTTTTTTCTTCTATCACAAGCCACACAAACATCACTCAAGTGTAAGGTTATTGCACATGCTTTTATGGACTGATTTCTGCAGTGTAGCAAGCTTTAGCTACCCAGGATTAAAAAAAAAACAAAGTGTACACTGATTTCTCAATTGTTTTTTGGTCTAATTTCAGCCACTGCCTATACAGATACTTAAATTTCTCTTGTTTCTTGACTCTGTGAGACTTAACTACAGGCACCTTCTTAAGTGCCTTCTAGCAAAAAAAAATTTTACATGTTTTTTGAATGGGGGCTATGGAGAAGAATCATTTCAACTCCTGAATAAAAGCTATGGTTTAATGATACAAAACACTGCTGGGGAAATATTCACTGTATCACAGCTGGTGCACTGTTAACACTACAACAGGAGACAAATACCAATCCATACCTCTTAAATTCAAAAAGACTTTGAATCAGTCTGATATTCGTAGCACTCTAGAAACACTACCAAGTTTAATCTTTAACCCTATGCAGTGGCAAGAGGTTAAGCAGGAGGCTGAAACAATTGCACAGACTGAATTTACTACAGAGTGAATGTGGATAAATATCAGGTGCTCGTGTATCCTATACCTTCTTATATAATCAGTAAACAGAATTTTTTGCTTCTATACTGTAAAAGCACAGGGACATCAGCTCTGATTCATGAGGAATCTAGCTCCCTTCTCACCCTGTGTTTCCACCACTTACCTCACTTTTTCATCATTAAAGCCTATCACCTACTCCAATTGCACCCACTCCCTCTAACAGACACAGATCTACTCACCTCCCCATGCACCATCCTCTTACGTTGAACCGTAATCACTTCCACCATGGTCTGCTACACGAACCTGCTAAAACACTGTTTCTCTTCTCAGTTATTCAGTCCTTATCATAATGGCTTCTTATGAATTTTCCTGGCCTTCTGAAGAATCTGCCTTTTTGCTGTTCTTATGGATACAATCATCTGGCTCTAATCCCTCTTTCAGCACAACCTTGGGCTGCTGCCTGCTAAAGCCTGCTAAAGTCTACCAAAGACACCTCATGGAGCTCACAGACACTGTACAGATCAGACACTCTTTCACACAAACATGCCAACATTCAACCTCAGTTTTGAAAAAACTGCCAACAGAAATACACCAGGAAGTGTCTGAATGATGAACATTCCTAAAGCAATAGCACTAAATAGAAAATGCAATTATCCAAACATGGCTTTCCTGAGGCATCCTTTCCTTTCTGAGCAAATTCCATGGAAGTCTAAGCTCAGCAAGGTCACTGAAACTATTTGCCTGGCTACTCTAAGAGGGTCAGTGAAGCTAGGATTGTTCCACAATGCTAGATTGAAATATGTGCCCACAGCACTCTATCTGGATGATTCAGAGACCCCTGATGCATGAATACCCACAAAGGTCCATCCTTAAGCATAACCTCCAAATTGCAATTTTAAACCAGCTTTTTCCCCACCTGTTTTCTGTTTGCACTGAAATTCCTTCCCCTCAACTGCAAGCAGTGAATCTTCCTTTAGAACATGGCAATATTTATTGACTGTATTCTTTGTTCACATCTGTCAGACATGGGAAGTCACCACTGCTTTACAAGACTATCAGTTTTAAGTAATGCCATTCATCACAAAATGGAATAGTGTGAGCAACATTTCCTCAACTGCAATGAATTATACAAGGGTCAGCAAGCTGGAGTCGCGGTTGGCAACACAAACATTGGCCTCAGGTAGCAAACCCATCTTTCCAGCTGCTCTCATCCATATGGGTTCAATGAACTGCAGAGAGTACAGGCCTTCGCTTATTGAAAGTATCTGCTGGAACTATTTCATCTAACCAGCATCATAAAACAACTATGAAGTAAGGTGAATGCTATTCATCTAAAGCTCATCTGGTAGCCAACTGCTGACAGAGGGTGAAATAGAGATGGCAAAGCAGCAGACAGATGCGATGGGGAAATGCAGGTGCTCCTGCATTTCAAAACTCAGAGATTAAAGCCACAAGAAGTTGAAACAATTCACCTGTCGTTCACAAGCATCTGCTCACCCCAGCAGCACTATGCATCCTGACAAGCATTTTCCAGGATTCCTTAGTGCTTTTCCTCACTAGCATAATGCCCTTTTAATGTACATGCTGTCAAGCAGATCTGTTCGGCAGCAACACAATTAGCCCTATTTTTGCTCTGAAACAGAAGATTTTGTTTATGTGCCTGGTTTTGCAAGTAAGACTATTCTGTTATTAACCACAGACATTTACCAGAAGCCTCCTTGCTTGTACACAGCACACATGACTCTCATTCTCTCTGCCTTCCAATTTAGCTCAGGATTCTCTTATATTTTACTTCTAGTACTGGATCCTGCAATAAATTAGTTTTTCTATGAGACACTATTAACACCAAACTGCTTTCCTCGGCCCTATTTTTCCCCTTACCTCCATTAGTGTAATCAGACTCTATATAGCAGTTTTCTATTTAAAACAGTGATTGTGCAAACAACTGACCAAGGATGTTGTAAGTCCTTATTGAATTGATAGCTGTTAATTGCAAAAATACTACAGATATGGCTCAAACTAAAAAAATCAACAGGTTTCAGAGACAAGATCTTCAACAGAGATTTCCATATATGAGAAGCACAAAGGAGCTTCAATTTTCTCACCTTAATGGCATTCGACCAAACAAGATTAATTCCAAGTTAGGCACTCCAAAGAAAAGAAGAAAAGAAGCTTGTAATAGAAAAGTCAAAGCCTTAAATGTCAGTTATAACACAGCAATTGTTTCCAAGTAACACCATTGACCCAGTTTGCTTCACTGTAACATTTTAAGCTGTTCACTCAAAAAAAGGATCTTTAGAAATATTCTCTTTCCAGTTCAGGGTTGGTCTAATGGCACCAAACAACTACCCCATCTAATGGCATTTCCTTTGAAAACGTTGTCTTGTTATTACATAAAATAAGCAAATCTCTTCAAATACAGAGCTATTGCACTGACGGACTGTAGCAGTGAAATGATAAAATTAAAGAGCAGCTTCATGACTACAGGTATATAAAATTTCGTTTTTCAAGACATTTCCTGGGATGGATTAAATTATGTAAATATATGTTAACAATAATTCATAACATTTTAATAAAATCTTTTTATTTCTCTCGGCTTCTTAGAAGTGCAGTCCCAGGTGTCCTTAGGGTGGTGGGTGTTTTGTTTTTACACTTTAAGGACACACAAGGTTATACACTTCATAAGCAAGGAAGCACAACTATTGATATATAATGCAGATAATGATGCTGGGCATCCTTTGTCTGGTATCAGTCCCAGTTTTTGCTGGGAGCAGTGTTCATCAACAAAGTAACTTGGTATCAAGAAGGGGATTCACATGTTTCAAGGTTTCTTCCAGCAAGCTATTCTGGGAAAGAAAAGAGTATCTTGATTCTCCCCGCCACCCATGGAAGATTAAACAGTGAAGGTATTTTTACTGTTGTCAAATTTCGCAGTAGTAAACGGAATCAAATCTACCCAAGAGTCATGCCTCGAGTGAACTTACTCACTGAAAACTTCATCCCCAGAGACATCTTTCTCTGCACATGGTCCTCCTGCTGTTCAGGCTGTAAAAGTCCGTCAAGTTTAAGGTGACCCTGTTTTCAAAAAAGAAAAAAAGATTATTTGTTGTACCAAAGCAGCCGCATTTCATAGCAGTTACATGAGAGACAATTTTCAGTGCTGGCAATTCCAGCAGTGGCAGGATTCTGGCACAGGTGAGAGGCAGTCATGCTTCCTGGAATGCAAAAAAAAGCAGTTCAAATAAATTCATATGTAACACAGCACTTCAGCTTTTAAGCTGAGCAGAACAGCCTGGCTGAAGCATTTGGGCTTTTAAACCCCAGTGCTGCACACGCATGGCACAGCTTTACTAACTTTCAGAAATCACAGAACAAGGTCCCACCTCGAGATTCAACTTCAGATCTTTTTTCATTTGGATGTTTTTCCTACATACTGACTCACTCCCTGTGACAATGCACAGAGTAGATGCTCACACTCCTGCTCAGGTGTCTATAATGGTGTCTGGAACAGCTAGTGAGCATGACAGACTAGCAGACATTAGGACAGCAAAGAGAAATATTCAAGGTCACAAAGGTTAAGAACATAAACACTACCACACAGGGTCAGGCTACACTCCTCTTCAGTTCCTTGTTTCCACAGCCTATAACCAGAAGCAGATAATTGAGGTTCAATCTTCAACAGGTTCTGTCCAGTCACTTGAATTTAGAGAGATGGATCTGAGCACCAGAAGTAGCCTATATTTTCTGGGTTTTTTTCTGATGTCATTCCATGCTTCATCAGAAATCTACAGGAAATATTTGGAAATGATGTTTCTATTTGGATCCATCTCTGCTCTTTGGGATGGGCAAATATTCAATTTTAACTTTTCTTGGCGTTTCTTCCTTCAAGTTGACACCCCAAACCAAAACCATATTGACACTTAGGGATTTGTCCACTGGTGAAGCTGTCAGCTTGAGAGGTGCTGATATTGCTGAACCTCACATTTTCTTCTTTTTCTAATTAAGCAAACGTCTCAAAACAGTAACATCTGTAATAACCGTAAAAAAACCCCACCAGCAAACCTTTAAATGTGCTTACTTTTTTTTTATTTGCAGCTTGTAAAAACATGCTTATTACAGCTGCTACATACATAAAGTTTGCCTACAAAACTCCCACAAATTAATGTTCAACATCCTGTATCCACCAGCACGCATGTGTCTATTGAATCTGCACAGCAGGATCAGGTCCCAAAACACTACTAGATTGGCAGCACATTCACTGAAAACACACCCAAAGCACGAAACACACACACATTTCCTCAAGCCACACTCTGTGTCACAAACTTCAAGGGCCATTCCAGCCTCGCTTTCTGCAAGGAGCTCTTATTGAAGTCAGTAGGAGTGCTGCACAGAGCGCTGCTGTCAGACGTGGCCCTGAGCATAAATGTTGCCTTGAAATATGCCCTGAAGATGAACTCTGAGCTCCACGAGACAAATAGACAGAGAATTAATCCCAGAGTCAAGCATCCTTTTCCTTGCTGCAAGTCTTGTCCTCAGCCTCCTTTCAGTGAAAGGGGTGACAGTCAGCAGCACTGCCTGCTGTCGTGGTATTTGAGAGCTTCAATAACAACCGTATCATTTTCCTACCAAAATTCCAGTCCCACAAAATCCAATCATGAATTACACGGTGAGAGTCACTGAATCACTGAACCCTGTACAGTACCAAACATTTGCTAAGTCCAGCTAAACCAGCAAATATTGGTGACCCCAAAACCTTTATCAGAGCTAGAAGTTTCATTGCTTACAGTACACAGAATCAGCTTGCATTAGGAAACAATATTGCTTTTCTCTTGTTTTCAAACTCTTTGGACCACTTGACACTGGAGTGTTTCAGAGGAACAGATTTCCCTTAACATGAAGCCTTCCCAAGCTTCTATAACATGAGAAATATTATTTTCCAACACTGCTGATGCTTGGGGGAGAATAAGCTTTACTAATGTGCTGAGTACACAAACATAGAAAGAGAACATAATTTACAATGGTACCAGATAGTCTGATTAACTTACAAACCCCAACTACAGACCTTGTCCTGCCACAGTTCTTGGATCATCACAGTTACAGCAACTTGTTTATGATTGTATTTTTGTTATTTTTTCCTTTTTGCAGAAAAAGGAAACTCCTGTACAATGTGAAAATGCACAAAGGGCATCTGGGAACATAACTCTATTTAGGACAGCATTTAGCAAATGTTTTCATCTCTAGGATTGAACATAAGCATGTATGTGCAAGTCATTTAACAGAGGCACTGAATAAGCCCAACTCAGATTCCTTGGGGCTCAAATAAGCAGTGACACTTTATAAAAATCTGTTTACGTATTTCCATCCCTCCCTTTCAATGTCCAGTTTGGACTATTTATCTTGTAAAGAGTGGTGATCTGCAGGTGCTAGTCACACAAATGCCAAGATGAAGAACATTCACATGACAGGCTTCTAAAACAACTGAATCTGTTCAAGTGGTAATATGGTCCGGAGAGCTTCCCTAGGATGTGTCAGACTAACTCTGCCTTGTGCTCTTATGGTTTGGTGCAGACACTTGGTGAGCATCAAGGCACAGGCTCCACCACAACTTCGGCATTTTGTCTATATTCACAAGTATTAGTTGAGCATCAGATTGAATTGTCTCTGTACTCCATCTCATTAACAAAGGATCCTTTGAGCACCAGAGGGCTTGAGACAGGTTTTATGCTACCCTCAATCTCTTGGCTCTTTAGTGCTACACTAACTTCTGTCAGAGCATGATGGTGGTCCCAGCTCCAGCCTCCTTGCTGGACGAACCAGGCACATGCTGAAGCAAGGGATCACAGTTCTCTAGATAACAGGAAGCAGATGAGAAGATAGATGGTGAAGGGCTGGAAGAGGAGGATACACAACCTTCCCTGTGCCATGAAACCCAGGCCACACATGCCAGCCTAGAAAATACCAATGGAAAGACTGCAGACACTTCAGCCTACTCAGCTAACCAACTGATGCCACTCAGGGCCCTTGGGACTGCACTAGGGATACAAAAGGGACCAAAGAATCAGGGATTCTGGCTGGCTGAACAATCCCAGCAGTTGCAACACTTTGAGTAGAACAATCCCCAAATGACTGCTGCCACATCCACAAGTGAAAAGTCAGCACTCAAAACTCAAAATGGAGAAAATACACTTGATCAGCATAACTCCCCAGTATCAAGCCGGACACGATTAACACAATTCATTTCAGTGTTGCTAAACGTTAATACATCCCAAGGTCCCTTCTTTTCCTGTTTACTCTGTCCTCCTCTCTTTTGCTAAGGGTTCTCATGGTAAAGGACTTTTTACTCTAACAAGGTCTCTCTTTGGAACAGCATCTTTAAATTAAGTACTCATCTGGTGAACAATATGGTATTTTTAGCGACAAGGTAAAAATCATGTCACTTTCTGAACTAATCCCAAAGGAAATGTTGAATTATCCTAACTGGTTTATTTCTTAATTGATAACAAAGCACGCTCGAGGAATATCATGCATCATGGCATTATGATTTAAACCAAGCTGCTAAATATCTCATTCTATGGAAAAAGGAGATGCCTGCAAAAGCCTCCTCCAGTAACTGTTACTTACACACAAAGGTGCTCTTTCCATAGACTAAGCATGATGAAAAACACAAAAAGCTTTTGTCAAAAATAAGACCATACCTTAAGCACTGGCATAATATTCCTTTATGTTCCATGGAAGACAGGGAGGGGAAAAAAAGCCCCACAACTAAACAAACAAAAAACCCACAACCCCTAAGCCCTTATAAAAGTAGCTGAGAACCATTCCCATTACTAACAGTGTTATCAAGGCAAAATCTGGGAATGTTCAGCTGGCACATATGCCATCTCAGTAGTGGGATGCACTTCCTGGAGAAGCATAGCATCTTATGAAACAGGGACAGTGAAGGAGCATCCCCCACAAAACTATTAGCCCAACAAATGCAAGACTGTCATTATAAGGAAAAGTGGAAGGAAACAAAAAGTGTCTGTGCATACATCCTTGCTAAAAGACTTTGTTTAATATCATTAACATCAGATGTTCCAGTAGGGACTCCACTGCAGTCATGCCTTCCCTGTAGTGAATGGCGTGGTTCACGCCAACTGAAACAGTGAATCAGTGAAGCACTGAGGCCTCATGCCTCCCTCTGCTCCTACGGCATCTACTGCTGCCTGCCTGCTTCCACACATCTGTGCAGACACAAAGCTCCCATTCCCTGCCCTTCTGTCCCACTGAAGCCTGCAGGAAACTTCCTAGTGATGTAAAGTAGTTTTTATCCTGTTTCCCCAACAGTATCTTCTAACTGGAAACATGATGTTACTGAAGTTGCAGTGAGTTGAGAGGGGAGGGCAGGAACACCTCAGGAGATGGAAGGGCTGTTCTCCAGTGCCGCTAGTACAACCACAAAAACCAGAGACTTTATTTCAGCAGGAAAAGAAAACAGTCACTGCTCTTCAAGTCAGTAGCCTCTGTGTAGGCATAAGTTCATTGCTGACGTAGTTGATTTAGTACCTCTTGCTGTGATGGCAGTGTTGGTAAAAGCTTTAACTAGTTTTTATGACGCTATTAAGTTTTAGTCATTTGTGGGTTTTGCAGTATATGAATACTATAGATGCCACCTTAATTAAAAGGTCTTGTCATCTTCTGCAATTAAAAAGAGAAAATGTGCTCTCCTATGAATAGCCAGGAACAAATTGAGCAAGCTGCATTATACACGCTAAGTACACAGCAATTCCGTGCCCCTTTCTGTATCACATACATTCTCAAGCATTCAATACTTTCTAATAATCCTGTTACAATGTTTTATGTATAACTGACTTTATCCCCAGTAAAGTACCAGTGCCATGGCATCTCTGACCATTAATGACAACTAAGTTAAAGTTCTACTTTGCACATACATGCAAACTTTACATACACAAAGTGCAGAAGGAAACTACTAAATCTCAGGATTTTCATGTACAAACACCTCTTACAAGAGGTGGTCTTTTTTGCAGAAGAAAGCATCTAATGAGTAAGACAATCTCTTCCTGAAGAGGACATAA